TTAGTTTTATCTCTTTATTCATTGATATGTATTTAGAGTTATTCTTTGAGAGCTTGTAATTGGGAAAAGGGGTTTTGAGTGTTTTATGTATTAGGGTGTGAGAGTTCGTGAGGATTCTCGTTATAATTGTAAGAGTGCAATGTGTAAGCTTCTAGGTGAAGTTGTGAGTCTTGTACTTAGGTGGTACAAGTATTTAGTGCTTTGGCAGTACGTGTAGTACTTTGGTGGTACGAGTGAATCTAAGTGTGGTACTTAGATTGGGTGGGATAGGGTCCTATCAAGTAGCAAGTCCAGTGAGGAACTTGTCAAATAAAGGTCCGTGTCTAATAGGTTGTAACTTGGTGTTTGCCCTATTATAGTGAAATAGTTTGTGTTTGAAATCCCTAAGGTAGGGTCGAGGTTTTACTTCCAGTTGGGCCCTGGATGGTTTCCTCGTAAAATCCGGTTTGCATTGTCTAAGTTCGTAACAGCAATCAGTTTTATATTCCGCGAAAAGTAGGCACTAGGAACATACTACAATTCACCCCCCTCCTTGTAGTATATCATCCGAATTAACAATTGATATCAGAGCCAATGCTCTTGATAAACCGGGCAACCCTGAGGAGCAAGTTCCAGGCTAGGATGGATATCTACGAGGAATGCAGCGATTGGAACTCAGACCCAGAATGTTCCCAACACGATATGAAGACCAAAATTTGCTTGTAAAGCAAAAGTAATTCAAAGATTAACATATTGGAGGTAAGTGTCCCGTCTTTGAATTCTTTGTCATATATATGCATGTTACTATGTGTGCAAGTTCCTTGTAGTATTTTAGTTAATTTGTTGATTTTATTGTTAATGTTTAAAATCAATTTTGTGTAACCTCAAATCTGATTTCTAGTGTGAAAAGATTTTTTCAGATTTACAAATTGATTAATTTTCAGTTTACTAGAAATAGTTCAAGGAACTTATTGTATAGAATTATGCATATTTGGTGTTTCGGAACCTGGACTAACCCTGAATGGAAACTTAATTCTTTGGGCAAGGTAATGAACGTATATTTTGAATATTTGCCAAAGAATGACCTTATCATGTGTCCTTATTATTCTGATTATTTATGTTGTACACATGATGTTAATTGTTAGTAAAGATAGTTGGTTTAACCGTATTTGTTTTAATTATGGATTATTGACGTCTATTACTAACATGAAGGTACCCAATGTATATTGGGTAACCAAAGCCAAAAGGTGACCGATTTTGCAGGCTATGTGAGTGGAGACAACTTTTTAATAACGATGATCTTTTGGTTGTTTGTATATATGGAATTATATGCAAGTTCCTCTCACTACAAAGCTTTTATAAGAGGTTTGTAGTAGGTGAAATGATAATATGGATAAGTGTGTAAGTCACCTATACATTTCTCTATAAATATTGGTCATGTACTTTTGGTATATATTGATCCTTCACAAATTCCTATTAAAATTCAATTTCCCATTTCTTTGAAGGTTATTCATGAATGGATGTAAAAGAGAAGTTGTTTTGAAACTTATAACATATATCATGACAAACTAACTTCTCTTCTAGTTTGGTGCTTTTTGTTAATGATTGTTTTGTAGGTTTGTCCATTGAGATAAATCGGTGCATAAAAGTTTATTCCGTTAGGAACTTGGTGCTTAACTAGTTGGAACTTGATGAACTTGAATTGATAAAATAGATTTAGGATATAGGAATAACAAAGCTTCTATATCAAGGTGCTATAGGAGTTAGTGTACAAGTTCCCGTTCAGCTTCTTATGCAAGTTCCAGTCAAGTTCCTATTGTTCAAAGTTCTTTGGAACCAAGCATAAATTCCTGTAACAGACTCTTATGAAGGATGATGAGTTAAGATGATTATCTTTGTCTACGTGTTGGAGATCCATAATTTCGTTTATGGAACGACATCCAAAAGGGAGTATTTTTATCGGAACTTTATGTTTTAATACTTTTATGCTTTAGGTTTTATCTATCTCTCTTGACTAACCTACTAACCTTTTGAAAGCACAAAAGAATTCTCTTGGGTTTTGATTTTTCAGGTTATATCTTCAGAATGAATATTTGAGGAACTTTGACAAGGTGTTGAAGAACTTGAGATTAAACCAACACGTTCCTCTGCCCAAGATACAATGGTCAATAGGACAAGAAGGGCATGTTCCAACCTAATATCGATCAATAGGAACATGAACAGTTGAAGGTACATAGTAGGAAGGAACTCGTAGTATCTCGACAGCGAGGTTCCAAAGGGATGATGATTGTCAAATCAAGATATTTCCTGCTATAAACCTACAATGGAAGAGCTTTGACTTATGAGACTAACACATAAGGTAAAATTGTTGCATAACAGGTGGTTAGTAAGTCAAGTTCCTATACCATTGTGAACATTTTTCTTGTCGAGTTTTTGATGCACATTTTGGTGTTTTAAATGTGTGGAACTCTAGATGTTTTACGAAATAATTCTATGCTTCAAACTGTAAACATGTTAATCTTTTTGTGCTTGATAAACCTAGTAGGAACTTGATAATAGGTATATGTACACGTAAGTTCCAAACAGGTAAAAACTGAGAAGCATGAGGATTAAAACATGTTATATTCTCTTTCAACATCAGGTAGATGGTAAGCAACACTAATCCGTTAGATCTTAGTGATATGGATTTGTTTATCATGTGATATTTAGAGACTAATTGAAAGATATGTCTTGTTATAAGTAATGAACGCAAATGGACACTTGGTTACTTTTCTTAATAGAAGAGATGATGAACTGTATGTTGAAAGTCTTTTCTATCACAGGGTTTGTTGCTAAATGTTCATTATTTATGAAGTTATGGATCTAACAATGGAACCTAGTTCCAGCCATGTTTGATGTTTGTAGTAGGAACACAAGATTGACAACAAGTTTCCAACTTTGAATCATGAAAGACATGAAGAGAACAAAGTTATATGCTAATGGTCTTTGCAGGTTCTTTGGAATAGTTTTCAATGTCTCTTACTACATCATCAACACTGAAGCAATAGATATTTGATTAACAAGACACCCTATGTTCCACTTAGGGATGTTTGATGATAGAAGTGCCAAGGCGATTACCCATAAACGCCTAGATCAGTAAAACAAAAAAGAGTTTACACTATCATGTTTGATGTGCAAAAAAAAAAAAAAAAAAAAGTGAACATATTTTCAGACTAACAGGTTTGTTCTCATCAAGCAGGTTATAAAAGTTGAACTCATAAATTCTTGTAGAACTAACTGAGTTCCTAATAAAGAAATATGTCACTAAGGATAACAGCAAGGTCTAGCTACACATGTTGAGGAACTTTTAGATGTTAAGTTCCAACTCATGCAGCAAAGTTCAATGAACTCAATACAAGAAAGCAAGTTCCGACGAAGTTCCAGAACTGAGATAATATTTGTTCACTCCACCCTCATTTCCTCAATAGGTCACTCCACCCTCATTTCCTCAACACCTCAACTCTTCCTCAACGCCTCAACGCCTCAACTCCTCAACTCTATATTCTTCTCCACACCCGCGAAATTGTAAATTATTTTTGGCTCCAAATTTTTTTGATCATGAATAAGCAGTTACTCCACTTTTCAGTTGTTGATCTCATTATACAATACACTCATCATCTTAAAATCATCATATCCCCCAATTGGTTACTCGACTTACTCACCTCCTTTCTTTCTACTTAGGTGAGAGTTAATTAAGAGTATAGAGTATCTATTTCAATTCGTAATTAACTAGTTGCTTTGCTCTCTAGTCACACTGCTTTCTTTGGATTTATGGTTGGCTAGTTGGGTTTGATGCCGGCGAAATCGTTGTTGTATTCTTAATTTCATGTAAGTCATCGTTGCCCTTTTAATCTCTGAAGTGAATTTGGCATTTATAACTGGTTAATTTGATGTTGGATTTGATTTTTAGATGTAATATATTCTGGGTTGTCTTATTTTTGTAATTTAATATGATTATGGGCTAAGATGATTTTAATGGTTATGATTTACATATTATGATTTACAAATAGCTCTGTATTTCTGTTGCTGCTTAGTGATTGACATGGACATTTGCACTTGTTAATATGAGTAGATGCATGACATCAGATAACGGGTGTGAGTTTTAGAGCGTTTTTTAGGGTGTTTTGCTGACACCCTCGAAAGCTAACGAGGCCATTTTTTCGGGTGTCTTAGGAGGTGTTCGTGTGATTAGGTTGTCATCCCCTTAGTTTATCATTGATCTCTCTCTTCTTACTTTCCAATGGCCACATTCACTACACTAGCAGCTATGAAGGGCAATCTAAAAATTCAGGCCATTTATTTGAGTCCAATTTTGATCAATTTTGAGAATTTTACTATCTAGAGACTTATAGTACCTGAACCTGCTCTCTGAACATTGCAAAACCTCACCTTTCTCAATCTGATGCACAGTCTAGGTTGTTTATTAGGCTGTCCAGAAATGTTACAGTTGCCAATCTGACCAAGCTCTGATGTGATCTTAACTTCAATTCATACATCAATAATTAGTACATATAAGGTCCTGGAGTCTTGGGTTCTGAGATATATGCTGATTTGTTCACTATAGAAATCAATTATATTTTGTTTGTTCTACTTTAGTCTAAAAAACGTACCGAACAGAATTTTCTACTAAAATTTAAGTTAATAAAGGTTAGTTGTTAAGCTTTCAATCATGCTAACCCTTTTGTGAAATCAGCTAGATTATTAAACAGATGGTTATCCTTACTTGTTTTGTAACTTGAGCAGAAGAGCTTTAACTAGAAAAGATTTAAAAATTAAAGCATATTGAGGACTGTCAATTTATTCCCTGATGTCTAGTTGTTACTGAACTGAGTAATTGCTGAGTAATTGCTGACAGATGCTAAGATATTTGTCCTAGGTCGAATTAACTTGCAAACGAATTCACTAATGGTACCTAGTGGGGTTGCTTACACTATGTGTGGGTTATATGCATCTGCACTAATTTTCCCACCTCTCCACTAAGCTTGGAGCTATAAGAGGTTCTGGTGATGAGCATCAAACTCATGAACCAAGAATGTCAGGATATGAGAGGCTGAGAATGGAAATAATTAGAAAAAATATGACAAGAATGGAAGAATTAGGTTTGAAGGAACAGGCTAAGTCACTGATGGCGCAAGTTCAAAATAATAGAGGCAATCAAAGTAAGAATAAAAAGAAAAAGGTTTCGAGAGACGATGAGCTCTATAGGCTTAACCAAGATATGGAGCAAGAGCTTGATTCCACCGATGAAGAGTTACCCATTCCACAGTCTAAAAGTAAAGACAAGTCCAATGCTATTCAATGGAAGGTAGTTTTTTCTAAGCTGTACATTTATAATTAAGCATGTCTATATTCTTTACACATGTAATTTTGTATGCATCAAGATGATGTGTTGTGCTGCTATATATATGTCATATGTGGGTTTAAAATTTAAAATATAGGTTTTAAATTGAGAATGGAACTCTATTATCTCATGCAAGTATATATGCAACTAGGAATAGATGTTTGAATGTTCTGATTTGCCATCAACTATGAACACGTATTGATTGAAAATTTGTCCAGTTCTCTACAGATTTAGAAAGTAGTAAGAAAAATGTCTTGGTGTGCTGTTGTTGCTTTATAATGTTGTTGTTGCCTATTGCTTTGCGGCTGTTGAAACTTTAATTCTACTGCTCTATTGTCATGAGTTGCTGCCCCCTTGCCTTGCTGGCTGTACACTTGTTCTGCAATCTACTGCCAAATACTTCTCTAGAACTTAACACAAATTCTGCTCTGCGCTGTAAGCAGTTAAACTACAAGTTTCAATTTAGATTGAATGATTCATGATTGAGCTGTATTGTAATAATGTAATGTATGTTTTTTATTGTGATGTTCTGATTTTGATTACATTCATTAGTGATTACCTTAATCCCAAATAAACTTGGATGGTTTGTCATGTCATTTGCAAAAGTGTGAAATTGCGTAAGCATTGTGCTAATAGCCTAGTCTTTGTCTGTCTTGATGCACATATACATTTTCTGTGAGACTCAACAGTCGCACACTCTTAAACTAACTCAATAGAAAGCACATACAAAACAAGAATAATCAGCAAGAACAAAGATTCGATAGCCAATGGATTGAAATTTATTGATAGTTCAGTAACTTTAGGTTACTACTGCCTAAAGTATCTTTAGGATACAAAGCTCCAAATATCCAATACAATAGTCTTCTCACAGAATTCTTGACAATGCAAAAAGATTCTTATATATACAAGGCTTTTGTCCAACACAAAAGAGGCCTCCTTAATTCATTTTGTTTATCTCTATCTACTCTGATATGCTGCTCCAAGTTTTCTGCTCCACTAGTGAGTGTTGTTCCCCCTTCCTGCAGACTCCCCTCTTCCCCTACCCTTTGTCCTTCAACAATTAATTAAATTTGTTCCCTTGTGCTGCTGTGGTTTTCCTCTTCTCTGATATTGCAATAGAGGTTTGGGCTTGAGGTTTGGTGGCCCGTCAGTTTGGTGATATTTTCCTTGTATGCTCATATACCTAAAGATCAGCTCAAATTTGACCTCTTATGTCAATATGGTGTATGAAACAGTAAAGAACACAATTCTCAAGGCTACTTGAAGCACATGCTTAGTTAGACATTAATGTTTAATTGCTTATAAATGCCCTTATGAATGTGTGGTCTATGATCAATTAATTGCTTATCAATTTAACAAGAGTTATGAAGTGTGAAACTTTTTTTGTATAATGTTTGTACATACATATATTAGAGTATTGTATGTCTTTCTTTTTTCTATGTTTGTTCCCAATTTCAGATTCGTAAAATGAAGGCTCTGACTCGAAAAGCAGTGATGGAAAAACGTCGGCGAAATGTTGATTTGGCTTCTTCACATGGTGGCTCATCTACCCCTAATCATACATTACATCAGCATTATTCAACCACAAGAGAACTAGTTGAAATGCTCGGATTAGAAGTTGAACACATAAATCATGACAAGAATGATAAAGAAAATGGCAAGCTATCGTTTGTATTTGTAATTAAAATTCTTTACCTACATGCTTGATAAGCCATTTTTTTAACATTTGAATTTCTTTGCTCATGTTAGCTGAAAAGGATAAGCCTAGAAGAGGACCCACTATATGCTACAAAGTCCATGGACGCACCGAAGAAGAACTCTTGGAAATTACCTTGAATGAGCATGGACAACCTGTTGGTCCGGATGACAGTACATGTAATGAGTTCATTAGCTTCTTAGGAACAATAGCTCGAAAAGCAAATATCCTACCACTCACTGTCAATAATTGGCCCATACTAAGGAACAAGAAGAAAGAAGAACTTTGGGATTATGTCTTGGTGAGTTACTTATTCAATTAAATAAATATGGTAGAAATGTTTTATAATTGCTTAACTTGTCCTATATGGTTTCTGCTATCATGTCAGAGTGTCATATTAAACTTTCTTGATTGGCATATGTTATGTAAAAAAATGAACCCCAACTGTCATTATTGTTGTCGATTTGCCTACATGGTGTTCTGCTTGGCTGCCTTCTACTTTTTAAGATCAGTGACTTGTTTTGTAAGTGCTAGAATAGGTTCTAGACTTTCAGTGAGTTGTTTTCTTATGTTCTTGATTTGTGATTAAGATTAATTAATTGGCAGTGAGTTGTTTAACAGTGCTAATATGATCACTTTAGTATAACTTTTTTTGTATTTTTTTTTAGTATAACTTTAGTATAACTTTTTTTGTATTGTTGTAGAAACATTTTATTGTCCCAATTGAGGGAAAAAATGGGTTTTGCAAACCATTGATGCTTCTTGGAGAAGGTACAAATGTTATTTAAAAAGAGTACACTTTCATAAATATGACAATGATAAAACAAGGATGATCAAACGACCAAAACTAGTCCCAAAAAATATGTTCCAAGACTTGTTAAAGATTTGGAATGATGTCAAATATGAGGTATTACATTTATACAAGTCTCTTATATTTCCCTGCCTTTATAGCAAATGTATATTTCTTGTCTTAAGAAAAATGTTATTCATTAGTTCACCGTCTTAATTTGTCAGGAACGATGTATGCAAAATAAAGCAAATCGATTAGTTGGAAAGGAAAACAACATTATGCATACTTCAGGACCAAAGAGTTTTGCTAGGGTTCGATTTAAGTGGGTGAGTTTGTTTGTTTGCTTGTTTACATTTCTCATCACTTTTATTATTGGTTTTATTTCTGCATTAAAATGATTGACACTCATTACTCTTGTATAGAAAAAGGATAATAAAACAACAAAAAATCCTAGTTTAGCTCAAATGTTCATAGCAACACGCAAGGAGAAGCTAACAAAGCGAAAGCCTGGTGACCTAAGGGACAAATTGATGGTAAGATTCATTGTCATTTCATGTTAATTTTTTTGCATTTAATTTTGTCAATATTAATTTTTGTCCTTTATCTTTTAAAATATAGACTGAACTTGAGAAATTAGATTCAGAGGAGGAGGTTGAAAGTGTGATTTCAACTATTATTGGTTCTGATAACAAGAAAAAGTCTCGATTAAATTTTCATGGAAGAGGTTTTTCATCAACTTAATTAAAGGCAGAAGGCCTTGATGAAGGAAGCTGAAGAGAAGCATGCTAAGGAGGTTCAAGCTCTACAAAAAGATTATGAGGACAAAAGGCAACCAGATAGAAGGGAGATAGCATATGGTCTTAGCTCCATCCTTTCTCAAATTCAACAACAAAATCCACAAATGTCTTTTGATTTAAATATGCTTGGCTCTTTATTTCTTGATAATCAATCTGAGAAGGATGGTGGTAGTACAACAGAAATGCTTCGATTTCAATCTTCGGCTTCTACATCCAAGGTAAAAACCTTTTGATTTCTATATACGTAAAGTATAGATAGAAAAGTGGCCAAGGCTTTCAATTTTTCTCTTTTTTTTTTTTTTTTTTTTTTTTGTATTTGAGCGATACTAAGTTGAAATATTTATCTATTTTATTTTATTTTTTGTACAGGGAGATGAACAAGAAGAAGATGAAGAAGGCTGCGAGTAAGAAGAAGAATATGACTTTATGGCTCAATTTGAAGTTGCTTTAACCTTTTATTATTTCTTCTATTTTTTAGTTAGACTAATATTATGGCCTACAACATTCTATTAAACAATAGATTATTTAGATAGATTTGATGTTGAAAACAAGTTGATATTGTTTTGGTTGTACTGTTTTACTAATTAATTTTATAAGTTTGGGATTATGTAGTCAAATGCTTATTACATGTTTTAATGTTCAACATTTTTCTAATATAACAAATTCAAAATAGTACGACACATTCTCACTCCTTTAATATAATATAGTAATATATTGCAATAGAAAACAATAATAGCCGATTCATTGTAGTCATTTAATTTATATATAACAGTTTTCTAAATGTTGTCTTTACAATACTTGGAAACACTTTTGTATTATTACTAGCAAATACAACATGTGAAAAGATTGTTTTATATTATGACAAAAGGTAATAATTTTGAATCGTCTCCTAAGGTGGCAACAATTTTCATTTGTTGCCTTTGTAAAAATGTTGCCTTAGGTATTATTTTACCTTGGCTTTTAAAATTGTTGCCTTTGTACGAAAATGTGTTGCCTTATGAATAGACAACGGGGGCATGAACTACGCCTCATATGTGTTGCCTTAGATACAAGGCAACAATTTTTTAATATTAGGGAATGGTTTTTCATTGTTACCTTAGCTTCATTTTGTTGTAGTGAATGCTATTATTAATAGCTCCGGTTTTAAGGAAGGTTCCCTCCCTTTTAGATACTTGGGGATCAAGGTTAATGCCAAAAAGCTGTCTGCTAATGATTGCCATGTGCTTATTGATAAGGTGGTGGCTAGGATCAGAATTTGGGGTGGCAGGACTCTCTCTTATAGTGCTAGAGTGGTGCTTGTTAATTTTGTTCTCTTGTCTTTACACACTTATTGGGCAAACATGTTTATCCTTCCTAAAAAGGTGCTTGATGGAGCGTTGGCTGTTTGTAGGAATTTTTTGTGGGATGGCAAAGCTATTTTCACAAGGTCCCCTCCCATTTCTTGGGATATAATTTGCAGACCTAAGAAGCAAGGGGGTTTGGGAATCCATGATTGTGTTGCTAGGAATATTGCTGCTATGGGCAAGTATATATGGGATATTGCCAATAAAAATGATAGTCTTTGGTTGAAGTGGGTTAATCATCATTATATCAGAGGAAGGAACTGGAAAAGAGTGGGATGTCCTACTCAAGCCAGTTGGCAATGGAGACAAATTTGGAAAGTAAAGGAGAAAATTAAGGAAGGCTTTGTGAGAGACACTTGGAAACTAAATCAGAAAGGGTATACAGTGTCTAGTGCTTATCACTGGTTAAAAGAAGAGAAACCTGATGTAATCTGGTTTGGAACAAATATAATATTCCCAAACAGAGATTCATTATGTGGTTGGCTATGTGGGGAAGGCTGCGTACTAGGGATAAGCTGAAGAAATTTGGGGCTGCGGATGATGATCTGTGCCCTCTCTGTCATGAAGATGTGGAATCTTGTTTGCATTTATTTTTTGAGTGTAATTATAGTATGCAGCTTAAGAATTGTCTTCAGGGAAGAATTGCAGACCAGATGAATTTTTGTTCTCTAATTGAGTGTAATGGCTGGTGTTGGAAAGCAAGGAACAGGTTTCGAAAATCTGTCATGCAGGGCTTGTGTACAGGGCTAGTGTATAGCATATGGCAGCAGAGGAATGAATCAGTTTGGAAAGCTAGGATCTCTAGACCAGACTTAGTGATTAATAGATTGTGTATGGATGTATATAACATAATTAGTAGTATAGCTTCTTGTAAAGTTAGAGCTAAGGATTTAGCTTGGGTCAAGCACTTGTGCTTAGGGGCTTAGTAGCCTCCGTGTAACCTTTTTTTTTTGAGATTTAATAAAATTTTGCCTTTTCTCAAAAAAAAAATCCGAAAAAAAGAAAAAAAAAATTAATATATAAAATTAATTAAAAGGGTGTAAGAAGGGATAAACAATCGTAAAGCCATTGTTCAGGTTCGAATCAGCATAAAAACACAGTTTCTGAAAAGCTCGCTGATAAGACAGTGTCAGCGCCACGTGGCGCCACGCGTTTTGCGTTGGCGCTAGGCGCTACTGCTGGTGATTAGCGCTAGACGACATAACTGTTGTTTGGCGCTAAAGAGCCCTGACTCCAAATCCTTTTCGGATTAAAACTGTGCCGATGTTGTGTATAAATAGCCCCCTGGTTTGCCGGTTTTCTTCATAATTTCAGCAGATTAAAATAGGCTTAGCTTTTGAAAAAAAATAATCATGTCTTTAATTAGTAAGAGTTTTACCAACTTTACTCATGAATGGTGTCGGTCTTTAACTGCAAAAGAGAGAAAAGAAATAGACTTTTTTCATATGGGGGTATCTATGGTGTTAAGGGGGTAAATCTTGATATAGACTTCATTCATACCGGCTTAGAATATTGGGATACATATACTCATTGTTTTAGACTAGGGTGTGATGAAATTAACCCTTTATCGGAAGAATTCGGTGCTATCTTAGGCTTCCCTGCATTAGATCTTGCAGTAATTCCTAGAATAAATGAATATTATTATAAGGATTTTGAGCGCTTGTTTAATTTAAGAGACAAAGATCTAACAAATATTGTAGATGTTAGCATAGTTAATTTGAAAGAATTTGCACGCCATTACTTTGATAGACCTCATTATGAATCCTTTCATGTTTATAGAAGAAGGGCTATTCTCTTTTGCATGCTTAACCAATATCTTCTCACTAGTGGTAGAACTAATGAGGGCCAAGCAATCATATCAACTGTTTTGGAGCAAATTGAATCTAAGAGAAATCCAATGCCATTAATTGTTGGAGAGACTATGCTTAGTCTTGATGAATTGAAGAGAAATCCAAAAGAGCCTTTTCGGAGCTCTCTAATTTTATTACAGGTAGAAAAATAATATTTATAATTACAGAAATCAAAAACATATTTTTGTATAGTAATATTAATTTATTTGCATTAAAATTTTGCAGATGTGGCTAATGGAGAGACTAGAATTAATTAGTCCTCACGACAATGTTGAAAAATACACTCCAAATTGCTTTGTGAGGCGAAAGAAACGCTTCTCTAAGATGGGGCGCCATAAATGGAAAAAAGTGTTTGCTTCTTGCAACTTTGCTATCAAGCGGGTCATCCCTTGGTGGAGAATAGAGAATATGGTTGGTGTCAACAAGAAAACTTTCTATCCTTCCAAGCTTAACCAGGATGACGTTTTATTATCCCTGCAGGGTAAAAAGACAGTACGACCTACTTCAAACAATTTCTTTTGGGGATCTTCGTTGTCCCTATGAATTCCCTGTTTCTCAAGAAGTAGAAAAATTTGATGCATATTGGAGCGCTAGACCTTTATGGGAAGTGATTACCCAAAAGGTTCCTCCTTCCTTGCCCAATGATGTGAAGAGGTGGCTTCTCAAGAAACCTTCAAAGGACATAAAGAAAAATCAGAGTAAAACTGATGTAAAGAGTCGTCTAGGTGACAAGGTGATTCCTGTTAAGGAACGTTTGGGTGAAAAGATTGAACTCAAAACACCTACGATGCCTAAGAAGAAGAGCTCTATAAAGGACAAGGGGAAAGAATGGCTGACACTTCAGAGAAGAAGGTTTGGGTAGAGAAGAAACATGGAGTCCTAGCTAAGGGAGAAACTATTTACTCCAAAATTGAATGTAGGTCCTCTAAAGGATTCCTACTAGCTAAAGCCATGGACGATGAAGAGGATGTAGATAAAAATTGGAAGAGAGCAAAGAAAGAGAAGAAAGATTGAAGCATTGCTTAACTTTGTTGCACAGAGCGTTCAATCAAGTAGATGGAGCATGAATTCTCAGAGGGTTATGTCCATATGTAGAACACATATGGGTTTCAAAAAAGTGAGAAAAACTCAATCAGGAAGTAGGATCGAGCAAATAGTGCTAAAAACTAGTCAAAATTAGAACGCATATTTCTGGCTCGGTACTGGAAGAACTTGGCGCCAGCGAACAGAGGCCGGCGACGCGATTTGGCTCTGGCGCCTGGCGACAGGAGTGTCGCCTGGTACCAGAGTCAAATCCTCAGCGCTAGACTCTGTTTTCTGACGCTAGTTCCTACATGCCTCAGCAGCTTTATGTGCTCGATAAAATTTTCCAGTTTAGCGCAGCATTATTTCGATCCTAGTTGTGAAATATATTCCTCAAATTTCCTAAGTATAAAAATCCTATGTTTTTAACTCATTACGGATGGTCTTTCCAATGAAATCTTTTTTAATGCATATGACAATAATGTTAATCAAAATTACGCTCATGAAATACTTAGAAATTTTCGAGTCTCATCCACTCATTCTAAATTATTGCCGAAATAAATTTCAGGAATTAAAATAGAAATCCTCCCCAGTGTAGTCGCCAAAAAACTGTAGGGAATATTTCAAGCATTACCCCAAACTTGAACCCTATTGTGATCATACACTAAAGTATAGTGACGTCCAATAGGAAAGGAAGCTAGAGCAAA